CCTTGGTGGAAGGCTTTGAATTTGCTTAGAAAAGGATGCACAAGAGACCTGACAACAGTCTTTAATTATGTAAAAGAGCTGCTGCAAGGAAGAGAACAAACTGTTTCCCTATCTCCTCTGGAGACCATGGCCTGTAAGGCAAAAAGCAATAGAATTAGATGGAAGCAAAGGACACCTGGGCTGGACAGCAGAAGTATCTGAGAGTAAGCAGGGTGAGGCTGGGAATATCCACACTGGAGATTTAAAAGAGCAGATTTTTTCCAGGTTCTTCAACTTGGGAAAAATATGGATGTCTTTGGCTCTGTGGACGCTGAAACGTGCCATTAGAGGCACCCTCACACTCGCAAATGTAAGTTTAGAGTCAGGTAGGTTACTCCCTGGTAACTTCTGCAGACCACTGAGTGCCAGCCCAGCTGAAAACCCGTGAGAGGAATGGGTTGGGTTTAGCTGGTCCCACCTCTAAATGGGGGACCACATCTGATGTTCTCCAGAGGTCCCTGCCAGCCTGACTGTAATACATCTTGTACAATGTTCTCTAATCCTCCTCGCCCTTAAGACTTCTTTGGTCTTTCCTACTTCCTGGAAGGGAAGTTGGAGGTGGAGGAGTTCTTGTGAGACTCCATTCAGGACTGAAACTCCAAATCCATTGAACAACCTGGTGTTATTGAGCAGTACACTGAATCACCTTCATATGAAACAGCAGAGAAAAAAACAGTTGGAAAACTGAGTAAGCGAAGGTCAGGAAGTGCCAGAACTAAGGATTATCTGAGTAACCTTAATTCTGACTCCTTTGGACATATGCATAGAGAGCTTAATTACACAATCTCTTACAACTTTCCCTCCTCCTCTAGCATATAGGTTTCTTTTTTATTCATCCTTCTGTATGCAATCCAAGCCTTACCTACGCATACCTTCCAAACACCGCATACGTTTCTACTCAGTATGTTTCACACCTAATTTCTTCTTGTTTTGCTTTCAAAGACCATCAGTATTGATCAGATCAGATCATCACAAAAACTCTCGTGCCAAATGAACTCATCTTTATCACACCCCTTTGAGGTAGGGAGGTATCACTCACCCTGTTTTATGGGTGGGGAACATAGGCACAGGCAGAATAAAGCCAAAGTGATCCAGTTTCTATTACCAGGAAGGCCCAGTTTGAGATACTGAGGCTTTTCTGGAGTCCTCACAATTATTACAGCACTTCACTCCTTCAAAGTTACAGCTGGTAACACCAACCACTTCTGTACATCAGACTTCAGAGAACCAACGCCGCTGCCCAGGAAAACAAAGGCAATACAAGCAGTGACCATCTGCAGAGTATTGTTAAAAATTATGCAAACCCCTTTGCAAAGACAGGCACGGAGTTTGTTTCTTGAAAGCCACTTTATTTCCCTCCATTCCCCTCCATTCTTCACCAACACCTTTCTTCTGCAATGGAAAAGAGCAGCTGCCCCATCGATAACGTAACCCTCCGGCACACAGCCCCTTCCTGGAGCAGGAGGCAAGGCTCCAGTGAAAAGCACACACGAGCATCCATAAATTGGGATGGCATAAGCAACCCTTACAACGCTTACCAACACTTGCATACTCCTGGGAACAACCAAGCTGCTTGAGTCTTAAAAAGCAAGCTGCAAAAGCCATAACTCCATCCGTCGGACCCCTTTGGCCCCAATGCATTTGTTGGCAAGACTTGACGCTTCCAGAGTGTGTTGCTGCTGGACAGACGTGCCCCAAAGAAGAAGGAGAGCCAGCCAAAGAGATCCCCGAGGGGAGCATTAGGATCCAGGCTCTGCCTCCTTCCCCGGCTCTGCGGGGCTCCAGCGCTGACGGTGCCACCTATTCCTCCTACCGCCAAGGAAACCATCGTCATGCTCTGCCATTCCCTGGAGCACGAATCCTGTCCTCGCTTCCCGCCGCCCCCTCCTGCCTTGTCGTTCCTCTGCCGCGGTGGGAAGCGCTTCTCTCTGCTCTTCCTCCCCCTCTCCCTCCGCATCGTGCCAACAGCATGTGCTCGGAACAACGGCCAGATGGGAATACTTGTAAGAGCCTGAGGTTAACCCGTGTCTTCTATCCCACATACTCTCTGCTGTTTTGAAATGTGGATTCTATTGCACACGATTTGTAGTGTAAAGACTTCGCGTTAATAGTATAGTACGTTGATATTGCTTGTGAAATCTATCTCCCTGCTGGTATTGCATGTTGAACATCTCTGATACGGAAAACAGAAAAGACGACAGCTAACATTTTAAGGTCTCAAAAGGGAAGGACCTACTGGAAATAGAAAAAAAAATATTTTTTTTTAATATGTATATGCATATATATATCTAATATTCCTCTGTCCCGTCTCTCTATGTTAATTTGTGGGTCACACATATAAATTCACAGATGTTATATCAGCACTGTGCCTAGACAGCTTTAGCTGTCTTCCAGCAACCAACACGAAGGGTGATCTGTTCCTCCAATTAATCTCTGCATGGCAAATGATTGAGATGAAGAAACAGCTAGATGCAAACTTTTGCCGGCGGGATGGATGTCGCACCCCGCGGTTAAGAAACCCATCTGACCGGCTGCGTTTCCAGCCAACAACTCCAAGGCAGGAGCCGATATCCTCCCCTGTGGAATCCTAGTAAGTAGGATGGGTCTGAAACACCTAAAAGATGGTGTATGGTTTTTTTTCATTTACAATGGCTACTCTGTACACAGCTAGCAATTTCCATGTGCCACTCCAAGCGTTTCGAGGTAGCCTATCAACTAGGAATGTGAATTAGCAAATCATAAATGATGGTTTTATCAGGGTGGTAGCCAGGCACCTCGAGGCTGGGCCAGTACCTCTGATTACAGTACAAACACAAAACACGTCCAACAAGCATGAAAAGGCCAGAAGGTACATTCAACGTACACCTTTCTACAAGTTAATGTACATAAGAGAGCCCCAAGGCTGCTGGTTCATGTTTCACATGATGCCTTGGCATGTGGAAGGAACGATCTAATTACATGCATCATGGAAATGCCAAAACACCGTCCACCTTCTAAAAGCTCAATTTATGCTTTGACATTTCTGGAAAACCAATTTTTAATCCATGTCATCTATCAGGAGTTCCTGATATTTTATTTTACCTCAATGCTTTAAAATACTGTTGCTTTTACAGAGGTACAGGTGGGGAACTGAACGCAGGTACAACAAAAACATTAGGAAGAAAAATCATTGTCAGCCCATGAAAGCTTCTCCAGATTTTGGAGAAACAGAGCAGAGAAAGATCTGGCTTGAGCTTTTTCCAAAACACCCGAGTCCAGAAGCATCTTGTCACCTGGCTGGGGCTGTTTTCCTGTGGTCAGGACAGAATTCAGCCATATTTAGGCAACACAAGATCACTCCAAAACATCCACAGCTGTGATGTGGCAGCACTGACAGGCTAAGCGATAACGAACTGCAAGCATGTAGCACACAGAGGGCAACAGAGACCCTTCACAGGAACCACAGTCCCATGCAGGTTTCGCTTCTACCCAGAAGAAAAAAGCCTAACAGCTGAATCTTTTTTCTCCAGATGCTCAAATTTGCTTGTTTTTGCATCTAGGCAATGAAATTTTAATGACTCCAGACGGAACTGAAAGGACAAAGGGGTCAAGAGAAGACATCACCACGCTAGCTTTAATGATGTACAGATGATACACCCATTGCCCAACGGGGAGGATGGCTTAAACCCACTGACACCTCAAGCCACCGTCAACATGCCCGTCCAAGGGGACAAGGTCGTGGTCCCAGCAAGCTGGGTGCCTATGGGGACGGATCACGCTCTCCCAGGAAATCTGGGAGATGCTGGACAAGCTTTGCTGCCCAATGCCAGTGCTCTCACTGGCAGGATCAATGCTGGCTTATGATACAGCTTATGATAATGTCAATGTAGCCTTTATTTCCACTTTTACTTGGATAAACTCTTTATTTCGAAGACAACTTTTTCGAAGACAACTTGAAAGGAATGGTGGGGTAGGAAGGGAAAGGTGAACTTTAGACACCACAACACATTAAGTAACTAAAAATAAAGGGCATTTTAATTTTGGAGGAAGCAACATAGAAAATTAAATTGAAGGTATACTTTTCTTTAAGAATTATTTTATAAATTGTATATATATACTGTATGTACAGCAAAGTAGGAATGCCATGGAACTAAAACTGCTTATTAATTAATTTTTGACCTGGTGCAAAATCTGCCCAATAAAAATACGCAATAACCTTTTTTCTGCTATAAAAATTACTATGCTTGGATAAAAGGGCTGCAAGTAAAGTGAGCAGTAGGCTTCCTAATCACTACCAACTACCTTCCCTGTGAGTTTAGGTCACATCAATAGGCCATAGGGAAAAAAAATGATGCAATCATTAGACTACAACATCTTATGCAGAAAAAAAGTGTGCTGACATTGATTTTCATAATTGTTTGCTTTTTTTTTTTAATAAAGGATGGGGTTTTAATACTTCCACTAGGGATTTTACGAACATGGCAGTACAGATTTGCAGAGCCAAGGGTTGTAAAATGGCACTGAAACATGATGTGACCAGCAGTACCTGCAGCTGCCTCTTCCTTACAGCTCTCACCTCACCCCAGCAACGCCTCCAAGGAAGAGTTTTGCCTTCTTTTCACTATGTTTTCCCTTGTAGGCTTGCCAAAATCCTAAGGGATGAGAGCATTTAAAGCAGAAATCTTCCAAGGGCCATGACGAAAAGCACGTAACCAGCTCTTGGTGAAATAATGTGTTTATCCAGACCGGTAGAAGGAAAAAACTGCCCCCTCTTTAGACCGCGTACGTCAGATAAATAAGATTATTTTGCTATGAGCTACTACAGGCTACAATATACTCACATAAATATATTAATGCCTATATGTGAATATGAATTTGTATATATCAGATACAGATAAGAAACACTTAAGACAACGAGTAGATTACCAATAACTGCTGCAGCTTCTTGCTGGGTAAAGTCCATCATCCAGACTCGACACGACGAACCCACGACGGTGGGTTTTGCCATCCTCCCCCCAGATGACCCGGTGGGTCACCCTCGCTGCACCAGCGCAAAACACTTCCCGACCCTTCGTTAGCGTGTCCCTGCCTCCATACTTTACCGAGAAAGGGGGCTTGATGGGCTGGACTCAACACAAACCCCCCAGCTGCAAGGCAGGGGAAGCCCCCGCAGCCTCCTGCACCTGGGATAAGGTTTCTAGGGATCGCCCCAGCTCCTGTCCCCACAGCGGGGAAAGTGCGAGGGAGCTGCTGGACTCGGCTTTGTCGAAAAAAAGCTTGGGTTTAAGCCTCGGCAGCAACATCGGGGGCCGGATTTGCAGAAGGGGCGAGGAGCCACAGCGACGGCGGAGCTGAGGATGCTCAGCAGCTCTGCAAATCGCAACTTCAAAGAAAAAAAAAAAAAAATCATCCCACTCTTGGTGGTTTGAGAAGATCCTCAATATAGCGCCTGTCCTCCTCTAACACACGAGCGGAGCTGGACCAAGCAAGTACGATAGGTCTCTAACAGACACGTGCATGCAGGAGACGGCTTCTTTCAGCGTTAGCCTACGTTACCGAAGCATCCCCTTACCAGAGCGGGAGCAGAAATGTGCTCCTAGTATTATTTACACAATATAAAGTGCATTACAATTTAATTATTGAACTGACAGACTTTCTGCCGGGACCATACAATTTTGAAACAGAGGTGAGGGCTTGAATAGGAAATTCTCTTATGAGAAAAAGAGGTTCAGACTGGTGCTCTTCACCCTGTCCTCCTAAGGATTGTTTTTGGCCGTTCTTTCTAGTGCAAATAAGCTTGTGTTTTCTCAAGTTTAAGGGACATGGCAGTTTCAGGGCATCGGGAACGAACATTTAAAACGCTTTAGGGATTCGGCGTTCCCGAGCACCTCGCCGGGCGCAAGCAGCCCGCGCTATCGCCGCTCTCGGAAGCTGAAAACACGCGCTGCCAAAAATAACAAGGAACCCGTTTCCAAATCTCACCGTTCAAGTCTTGCATTGCTACGTTTCCAGTGAGTCTGCATTACCCTCCAACGACAACATCTGCAAACATCGGTGCTTTCCATTGCGGTGGAAACCCACAGCTAGTGGTTTACCCACGCGTGATCGGCTATGAACGTGAAGATCGCGATCCAGTTTTGGATACTAAGGTGCATCCCGTGCCAGGGGGAGTAAATGCATTAGTGGGTCCTACGGGATACCGAGCCTGACCCGGTAGCCAGCGGACACTCAATTCCTGGGTGATATTTACAACAAACTAATGCCATCGGAAGGCCAATTCATTAAAAACAAAGATAAAGGGGCATTTAAAAAAATGGGCAGCAATAAGGAAAGCCATTTTGCATCTTTTTTTTTTTTTTTCTTTTAAAACGGTGAAGAAAATATCCCTTTCCAATTGTTTTCCCCGTCGCAAGTATTTTCCTCATCAATGCTACAGGAACACAGGGAAGGCATGATCACGTACAACACACACGGCTAATTCCAACATAGGAGCTTTTACGATCCCTCGAGGCAAAGGTAGGATGGGACGGGGAGATGTCAGGCTGGTAGGGGAGGAACACCACGTAGAAACAGGAGGGGGAAGGAGAGCGTAAAAAGTTTGTACATTCATAGCTCCGGTTTGTTGGAATACAAGTTAATATTTTACTCCAGGCACTATGACGGGCAGCAGCAGTCAGCGATACGCTAACGTATGCCTCATTCACTAAATTCCGGTTTCTCACCAATAATAGGATGTGGAGTTATTATAATGTTGGTTTTGTGGTTTGTTTTTTTTTTAATTGACCTGTTAAAACCATTGGGACCCATTGGGACCCTAAGAGCGACGATGAACCAGCACCCCGTTTAACCTCCAGCTGATTCATCGCGGTCCGCTAGCTGTTTGAGTGGTGGAGCGAGAACGTCTCTCCGAGAGTTGAAAGAATACCTGAAAGAGTGACTTATGCAGACGTGGATGGGATTTTTTGACACTAAGCCAAAGGCTTGGTTGCTGTAACTGTTATGTGTGGTTTTACCTAAAGGGGGAATCACCTAAAACAGTGAAATTAATTTTCTTACTTCTTGTCACAATCGTAACATTTTCCTAAAGGTTCTTTGGTGACTTTGGTGCAAGCTTTTATTTTTTTTATTTTTATTTTTTTTTAAAGTTAAAACAGATTGACCAGTTTTAGTACCCAAACTAAAGTCCAGATTATCCTCTTGATTCCCACCACTGCCTCCCCAACTTTTCTTGTTATGGTTAATGATATTAACAGGTAATAGCATTCGGACTGAGCGTGGCCATGCAGCGTGCAGGTGGGTTCAGACTAAGAGTGATGAACAGTCTGGTTAGAGATAAATATGTTTCTCCAATAGATTAAAAAAACCCAAACACATAATGGTTGCATGGAAAAATAGCTGGTCCACGTGCACACTAGGCCACTCTGCAAAAAAAAATGATCCAAATGATTATAAATATCTGGTTAGACACAGTAATGTCGACTTTAACAAAATCTTACAGGTGGGCAACCCGTTACTGGAAATACCCACTGGTCTCAGAGGGGAAGGAGCTGGTCGCCCAAGGTCTGGAAAAAGCCCCTTCCATTCTAAATATTCATGTTTAAATAAACAAGAAAGAATTTTCAAAATCTTTCATCAACCTCCTAAACAGCTAATTGTACACATTCTCTCTCCAGGCAGAGAGTTTATATCATGAGATGTAAAATTGATGTTACAGAGACTTTAGCGGGACAACCCTGAAACCTGGTGGTGGGCGATCAGGTGGGCTTGACGACAGCCCCAGCTCTGAGCGGGTGGGAAGAGGGGGATTTGAGGGCACAGATATTGTCTCCTAACACCACCACCTGTAAAATCAACATGACAGAGAACCCAACGTGGCATTAACCACGGCTTCCGAAATGCACTACGGGTTAAGTATGAGAGAGAGGCCTTTTTATACGAATCTAATAGTGCACCAAACCCCCCAAAGGTCTTTCTCGCAGCAGGAGGAGAAAAACGCCCAGATGTTTTCCTCGTACATCACGACTGGATTAATCTTACATTTGGGAGAGAAACCAGGAGCCTCGGTTGCAGCGGTCCCTCCACCTCTGAATACCCGCTCCACAGCGGCCTCCTGCAACCCATAACACTCCTAATACAAAAATACCTTTTGAACTTTTGGACAAATGCATTAAAAATAAAAAAAAATCACCAGCCTCGCATGGGCAGAACACGTAGATGAGGAGTGGGTTATTATTCATTGCCATTAATTCAGAAGGCTCAGCACTCAAGTAGAGCTTCGCTATCCTGGGATATGGGGGTTATTCAGTCAGCACAAAACTACGAAACGATAACAAATCTTCTGCTCTTCACCAGCACATTATCAAGGTCTGACCAGTTATCAAGGTTTTACCCACACAGAAGATCGTTTCACACTCAAAAACCAGCAGATGCCAATTTTAAAACCTCTACCTTTCCTCATACACAAACCAGCAATTCACATGAAGTTGATTTTTGTTGTAAACGCCCCACGGCTACGCTGCTCAGCCTTTCGACTGAGTACAGGCAGAATTCAGTCCCAGAAAACCCGTCATAAGCAGAAACCGATACGTTTCAGCATAAGGTTTGGGGTTGTGGGGTTTTTTTTGTATCACGTTGAAGTGCAACACAAGCCTTATCTAGACTATTTAAAGGTCAGAGTGCCGGATTTTTTTTGTGCTGATATGCGTACTTCCATAGTCTTCAACACTCGAAGCAGCTGACTCATAGAGACTCGGGAGGTTGGTACTTTCATAAGACATACGGAGATGTTTGGGGCGTAATTCAACGTGATAACCAGACTCCTATAACATTACGGACTGGAGTTAGCAAGAACTACCAGAAAAGGACTTTACAAAAAATGGGGCGACTTGAAATTACTATAGGTCAGTCCCTCTCACCAATTTCTACTTGTTTTGTTTTGTTTTATTTTGCCAGACGGCCAGTCCAATGCACTCTATTCGAGACCCTCTTGCTCTTCACCACTGTCCCCTCTGGCATCCATCCTTTTTTCTTTATGGCTGTTGTAAATTCTCCTCATCTCTTCTTCGTACTTGATAAAATTTTCCCCAAACCGTGTCCACGCTTTGTATGGAACTGTGATGGTGTTACGGTAGGGTGGCCTCACCTCACTTACCTTCAGGAAAATGCCGTACCTGTTGGATCCCACGTCGAAGTAGAAGCGCTTGTTGTCCACTCGGAAGGAGGTGCCCTCGGGGAGCTCCGGGGGCTCATCGCCTCCCCCCCGCCGATCCTCTATATCTCCCTCCCCGTATTCTTCAATCAACTGGACCAAAGCATCCCTGAACTCAATCATCCCTTGCGCTGGAAGGACGATCGTCTGCTCCTGTCCCAAGCTGTGGCCAAAATAACCCATCATGCCAGGCCCCCTACTCATGGTTTGTCTAATCCGCAAGAAGCGCCCTCGCTGATTCTCCTTCAGGTCCAGGTAATACTTTCTGTTGTCCCTCTCGATGTACTCCGTTTTGAGGACACTGTGAGGGTGCTCTTCGGAGCCAACAGACCCCGGAGGCGAAGGCGGCGGGTGCTGCTGTCGCCTCTGGGGATGCTGCTCTTTGTCATTGCTGTGCTCGTGCCGGTGACTGTGGCCGCCTTTCAGGCCCAGGTGGGCATAGTGCTCGATGAAGTCCCCCAGGCAGTCCTTCAGCTCGGCGGCCACAGACAAGGAGAGGGTCAGCTTGCTCTTCCTGATATTGTCCTGCCTGCCTCTTCCTATCCAGACCTCGGCGATTTTCAGGAAGCGGCCCCGGGAGCTCTGCTTCACATCCAGATAAAATCGCTTTTTCTGGATGTCCACCCTCTTGGAGGCCAGCTCCTGGATCTCCATGCAGCCGCCCTGGGAGGAGGCCGGGTAATGGTACTGCTGCTGGGACTGGGAATAAATGCTCCTCTGCAGGCCAGAGCCTCCCAGGTTCCTTCCTCCTCCTCCTCCTCCTCCTCTCCCTCTTTCCATCTTTACCAATCAGCTGGAAATAATACATAACAGAGACACAGATGACAACATCAGCATCAGGGGCCTGCTCGGCTCCTCGGCAGCGTCTCTGCTCAGCGCTGCTCTCCCTACAAAGACGCCTGCATCCCTCTCGGCTGCCACGGCACGCAGCAGCGCAGCAGAAGGATCCCGGGTGCTCTTCCCCTCCCCTGCTCCGGCTCCAGACCTCCTCCCAGTCCGGGCAGCGCTCTTTCCAGTGCCCTCCCCGTCTGTCCCCCCTGCCCCGGCGGCCCTCCTTGCCCTCCAGACCTCCCCAGCCCCCCCCGCTCCAAGAGCCCCAGCACTGCCCTCCCAGTGCTCGCCATCACTGCACCTC